GTGAAAAAAATCAAAGACGTAGATCTCGACATGCTGATTCTAAAAATATAGCGTGTTGATGGTCACGGAGCAACATTTTCGGAAGAATCGGTACGAAATGCGAATTTTAGAAAATTTCAACACGGTTGCAGTTATCAAAGAAACGAAGCCATCTACAAGAAAATGTATTCAGTTAGGTTTCGAAAATGTCAAAAATGTTTAAATTTTTTGGATTCTCGATTTATCGAAATTCGGATGTTTCGATGTTTTGAGTGTTCAATCTCTTGATTTATCAGTTTTTCCATTTTTAACTTTTCGATTTTTCAATTTTGGCCTATTTCGGTTTCTCAATTTTTTCTTCTCGACTTTTCGACTCATTGATTTTTCGATTTTTAATTTCTTGATTTCTCAACGTCCCAGTTTTTGAATTTTTCGATGTTTCGATTTTTCGATTTGCCGGTTCTTCGATTTTTCAATGTTTCTATTTTTGAATTAGATTGATAACATTGACAAAAATTTTAGCTTACAAATTCCTCAGCATATCCAATCTTCTGTTTTCATTACAAGGTCCTCTACTTTCTGGCAGTTTCCTTTTATTTATCCTTTTTTGTGTTTTAAAAAATAGTCGAACTCACAATAATGGAAATCTTTTCAAAATTTTGAAATTTAAATTAGATTAATTTTTTAAATTAAAGTAAATGGCTGAACAATATTAAGAGTAATCACTGGAATGAAGAGAGAGTGGGTGGGCGGGGCTATTGCTTGCTTATAAGACTTTCTAAAAAAAAATAAAACTTCCCCACCCGTTCTCACATTTTTTTTCTGAAATAAGAAATTGATCTTACAGCAAACAATATAACAAAAATTATTATTAGCGCTTACCTTATTAGAAAAGAGGGGGCGGGGCTATTGCTTGCTTTTAACTGACTGTAGAAAAAGTTAAACTTACGCCGTCCACCCACGCGTTCTCCCATTTTTTTCTTCTCAAATAATAAAATGATAAAGAATTGATTTTACAGCATATAGTATAACAAAAAATTACTATTAGTATCTTCCAAAATTACCTAAAGACTTTTTTCGTTGATTTCGATTTGCAGAAGCCATTTTTGGCAACTTTTGTGCGAAAACTCCAACCACATTTTCAGAATCATCAAATGAAATACGACTGTTTTTGGGTTATTCTAAATTAAAACCGAAAATTTCGACAATCGGTCTGGGACCACCAATAAACTATATTTCGAATTAGCTCGTCGATATTTACATCTCAAAATATTTTTGTGGGTTTTCAGGCAATTTTGTCGAAGTGGAAATTTTTGAAATTTTGACCTTTTCTAAGCATCTTCAAAATTATACTATAAAGCTATTTTTGCGTTAATTCCGATTTACATACGTCATTTTCGGCAACGTTTGTTCGAAAACTTCAACAAAATAAAGTATGGCCATTTTTGGAATATTTGAAAATCTTAATTTTGAAACCGGAAATTTTAAAAATTCTGGTTTGGAATCTGCAACATGTTATGTTTTTCGAATCAGCTCTTCAATACAACCTATAGCCGAGAACTTTTTGTGGATTTTTAGCAAACTTTGCCAAAAACTTGAATTTTCAAAATTTTGAAATTGAAATTAAAGTGATTTTTTAAATTAAAGTAAATGGCTGAACAATATTGAAATAATAATCACTGGAATGAAGAGGGGGTGGGTGGGCAGGGCTATTGCTTGGTTATAAAAGACTCTGTAAGAAAAAGTAAAACTTAGCCCCGCCCACCCACCCGTTCTGCCATTTTTTTCCTTTGAAATAAGAAATTGTTCTTATAGCAAATAGTGATGAAGAGGGGGTGAGTGGGCGGAGCTATTGCTTGCTTATAAAAGACTCAAAGGAAGAGTTAAACTTAGCCCCACCCACCCACTCGTTTTTTTTTTCTTCTGAAACAAGAAATTGATCTTACAGCGAACAGTATAACAAAAATTATGATTAGTGCTTTTTTTTAACAACCTACATTGTAATAGTTCCCATTCTCACTCTACAAAAGAACATATAATTAACACCGCCCACCCACCTCGCCTTCATTTCAGTAATTCAGTTTATCCAGTCCGAATTAAAGGTTGGACCTCATACTGAACAGAAATAAAATCGTTAGAATGAGAACAGCACGGGTGGGGCTAGTACCTGCTAAGTTAGAACTGAGTTTGGTAAATGACTTACTCTCTAAGAAAATAAAGGGTGGGTGGACGCAGCTGGTACTTGATAAGATAAGGCTGACTGTGAAAAATTACATATCCTCTAAGAAAATAGAGGCGGCTGGGTGGGGCTAGTATTTCTTAAGACTGACTTTGGTAAACGACTGAACAATATTAAGAGTAATCATTAGAATGACGAGAGGGTGGGTGGGCGGGATTACTGCTTGGTTATAGAAGATTCTGAATGAAACAGTTAAACTTAACCCCACCCACCCACCAGTTCTCCTATTTTTTCTTCTGAAATAAGAAATAAATCTTATAGCATATATTATAACAAAAAATTACGATTAGGTCTTTTTTTTAGCTTACATTTTATTAATTCCCAGTCTGATTCTACAAACGAACATATAATTAGCTACAACTTATCAATCCGATTTTTCAATTTTTCTTTTTTTTTAATTTTCCAAATTTGATTTCCCGATTTGTTGATTTTTCAGTTTTTCGATTTTTAAATTTTAGATTTTCGACTTTTTACTTTTTGATTTTTTGATACTTGGATTACTACATTTTTCAATTTTACGATATTTTAATTTTTCAATGTTTCAAATTTTGACATTTCTGAATTTTCAGTTTTCCAATTTCTCAATTAACCTATTTTTGATTTTCCCATTTCTCCACTTCTCTAAGTTTCGATCTTTCAGTTCTTCAGTTTTTGAATTTTTCGATGTTTCAGGTTTTGGATTTTTCAATTTTTCGATTTTTTAAGTTTGCGATTTTTCGACTTGGCTTTTTTGAGTTTTCAATTACTCAATTTTTCAACTTATCGATACTTTAACTTTTCAGCTTTTAAAATTTAAAATAATATTTTTTTTCGAATTCTCGACTTGTTAGTTCTTCTATATTTCAATTTTTCAGTTTTCGGATTTTTTAAATTTTGAATTCCCCAATTTTTCGATGTTTCGATGTTTCAAGTATCCGATTGTTCGATATATCGATTTTTAAATTTTAGATTTTCCAATTTTAATTTTTTTGATTTTTTTCGTGTTTGGATTTCTCGATTTTACAATTTTTCTTAATTTTTTTTCGATTTTTCGATTTTTCAGTTCTTCAATATTTCAATTTTTCAATTTTTCAATTTTTCAATTTTTCAATTTTTTAATTTTACCATCTTGGTTTTTCAATTTTTAAAGTTTTTCGACTTTTCGATTTTTAGATTTTCCGATTTTTTAAGTCTTCGATTTCTCAATTTTTTCAACATAATCAGTTTTGGGAACTGTTCAATTTATGATATTTTAATTTTTCGATTTTTAAAATTTTTGTTTCCTGGATAATTCAATTTTTAATTTTTGGCTTCCTTTTTTACTTGATAATTATAGTTTCCTTTGAACATAATTTTGTAAGAACATCATGGTAATTTTTTATAGAAAAATAATAATTTTGCAATTAAATTCCGCCCTCTGGCTCACGACAAATAAAAAAAAATCATCACAATTGAGACAGGGTGGGTGGGCGGGGCATATATTTTGTTTAGTTTTTCTTAATATAAGTAGTTTTTTTCACTACAAGAACGGTCCCACTAGTAGGTATTGCTAATTTAGGACGTTTTGTTAGTATCAAACATAATTAAAGAATTAATTATTCTTACTTAAACAAAAAAAAACTTCTGAAATGTGATATTATGTTTGTAAATAAAGGATCTAAATAATAACTATTTCCTGTAGAAATTCTGAACGCTTAGAGTCGACATTGGCTTAAGCGCGCTCTGGTTTGTGGATCAAACAAGTTCTCAGGCGAAGTTACGTAAGTAAGAGGCTACTAGTTACTTAAACACCGTTGTGTTCATGCCAATTATTCATGGTTTATTGTAATTTGAGTAATTCTCAAACGCCAAATTTAATTAAATTAAAATTTATCTAATCTGTTCAATCATTTTCGCGTTACTTTTGAATAAATTATAAAAGACAGTTCTCATGTAGATTATCTTTATGATACAGTAATTCAGCATCACTCGTTAGTAAATTTTATTTATCTTAGAGTAACACCCTAGCTAATTTTTTTATTAAAAATTGTACTGTTTCTAAAATAATTTCCTAAAGACACTAGATATCAAATTTTAATAAGAAATTTTGTGAATCCACCCCTGCACTTTATAAAATCTCATGAACTATAGCTTACAGCAGACTGACGAGTGAATGCTGCGGAAGCAGATGGGAAAAATGGGAAAGCTTGTACCTTCTCTTGAAGGGATTTACAAGAATATTTCCCATTTGCGAGCTACGTTGCTGTCACAATTCTACCTTCCATCTTTCTCACATCGCAGGAACAAATCGTAAAATCAGAGAGACGGACAAACGAAATAAAAAGAATAGAAACCATTAAACCGGAGATATACTGTAACAGAGAGGCTTTGCAAAATGATTAGTGTGAAATAAAATACAATGAAAAAGGTAAAGCGTTTATACTTGTCCTCCTTTGCTGTAACGTCAAAACAAGAAACGAAAATGTCATATACAAGTAACCCATACTGCAAGACTGCATTTGAACTTTGAACAAGGAAAGAAGTAATTTTCTTACGATTTATTTTACAGTCCTGGAAAATTTTATTTCATGAGCACGAATGAAAGAAATGAAACGTTTGCACTTTATACAGCACAACAACGTGCACCCTTGTCTTCTGAAATTGATATGAAAGCAGACAGAGAAGTAACTTTAATTGAATCTTGAAACGAGGTTTACATCTACGATTCTTTAGTAATACTTTATGATTGCTGGTTCGGAAAATTTGCATCCGCTAAAGTTTCCTCTCTCCGCTTTCAAGTCAGACGTAAAAATATTACACAAACCTGTATATCAATTTTCTTCTGACGGATCTTTTGAAAAATCCTGAGCATCCGTTACATGCGAGTATGCCATAGTGCTTCCCGGAACTCGTATCTCCGCAGACAACGCAAATTAAACCAGGGGTGCCTTTTTTTGTCGGAACACTCCACGGTGGCGGAGGAGTTCTGGACGCTTGGACCAATGTTTGTGAGTTCGGTAAGCATAGCGCCAAAGGATGATCCCCTTCGGAACTGTAGCAGTCCACACTTCCAGGAGATGTTCTTAGCTCTGTCAATCAAAACGAAGTGTTACTTTGCTTCATTTTCTAGTGGTCTTTCATTTATTGACGTCGAGAGATCGCTTTTATAAATTTAGTTAAGAGTCAAACTGGTATTAGGGTATTAATCTAGTGCACTAAATTATCATGTGAATGGAACTTGAGACCCATATGTCAAAGTTTGGCACCCCACTATTTACTGATGCCCCCTCTGTACGTTCTTACCATTAGTGAACAATTACACATGCACTTTATATTTTTTAAGTATTTGCTGAAGTTGTCTAACTGGTCGTTTACGAAGTAATGACTACTTATTTTCGTATGTCTTAGCATCTACTCAACTTATAATCGTAAAATATAATCAATAACTGATGAAACAAGTGTTTTGACACAGTCGTTGAACATAAAAGGTTGGAATTTGCTCACTGTGTAATAGATTTTTAATTTGCTTGACCACATGGCATAATGTTAACAAGAGGAGGTTTCATGGCTTTACAGCATCCCGTGAATCCACCCTACCCTACCCTAACTTTCTATTATAATGCCACCACTTTATCCTCATCTAATACAAATTAATACACTGGTATTATATAGAGACACCATGTAATCCCCCGATAGTTTTACGTCTTTGTCTTTTTCAAAGCACAGTGTATCTTTTTGCTTTCTCTACATAAACCTTATAATAAGTTCACAGAAGGACGTGATATTTAGAGCAAAAATATTTTGTAGCATTCTACATATGGCATCAATTTAGATCATGGGGGTTGACGGTATTGTCATGTAAATTCAGGTTTTAGTGTGCGTGTCCTATTTGACGGCAAATACTTTTTAACTCTACTTACATAGATGAGGCGTGCATATATACATAGCTTAATTAGGTAAACGCGTCTATGAAAATGCTATTAAAATTGTAAATTGAAGAATTGTTAATTTCATATCTCCTATGAGAATATGACAAAGAAAATCTCCTCCTAACGTCCAACTGTCGTTTGGTGAATATAGAATTTTCTTTCAACTACAGAATAATTAAACATAAACACATTTTCAGTATCTTGTTGGAAAAAGAAGACTTTGCATATTAAGAAAAAATGGACCAAATATATGCCCCCCCACCCACCCCTTCTCAATTGTGGTGAATGCTTTATTCATCGTGAGCTGAATTGCAAACTTCTTATTTCTCTACAAGAAATTATTAAAAATTAAAAAATTATTGTGTGAAATATGTTTTTCAAAGGATAGAATTTTTTAGAAAAATATTGTTGTTACAATTAAACTCCGCCCTTCGGTCTGATTAGGAATGAAAATCTCATCACAACTGAGATCAGGGAGGGTGGGTAGGGCTTAATTTTTGTTTTTTTTTTTTTAATATACAGGGTTTTATTTCAACAATAGGGTAGTTAAACATATTGTCAATTTCTTGTTGGGAAAAGAAGACTTCGTATATTAAGAAAAAATGGACCAAATATAAACCCACCCACCCACCCCTTCTCAATTGTGATAAATTCTTTATTCATCGTGAGCTGAATTAAAAACTCCTTATTTCTCTACAAGAAATTACCGTATGAAATATGTTTTTAAAATGCTAGAATTTTCTAGAGAAATAATATGTTACAATTAGACTGCGCCTCTCGTCTGATTAGGAATGAAAAACTCATCACAGTTGAAATCGGGGTGGGTGGGTGGGGCTTAATTTTTATTTTATTTTCTTTGTATACATAGTGTTGTTTCAACAATTTTTTGCCGCAAAAACAAGAGATACAATAAAAAACATTAAGTCAATCTATTATTCGATAATTATTTTGGACTCCTAATGTAAGTCACGTAGAATAACTTGCAGTTTCTCGTTTTTCTGGAAAAACTGAAGAAATGAAAAATGAAAAATCTAAAAATTGAAAACTCGTGAAATTTCAATTTGAAAAACTGCAAAATCTACAAATTGAAACGTCCAAAAGTTGGAAAATTGGAAAACTGGAAAATTTAAAAATGAAAACTAGAAGAGGTATCGTAAAACTAAAGAAAAAAAAACGAAAAATTGAAAAGTAGCAAATTAAAAAACTGACGAAACGAAAAATTGAAAAAAGTGAAATTAAAAAAAATATATATAAAATCGGAACATTGAAAAAATGAAGCAACAAAAAAAATGAAAAATTGAAGAAAAAATTCAAGTCAAATAAGCTGCGGGAACGCTATTTACGCCGCGGGTTTTTACTTTATAGAGGTTATCAGAACACAAAAATTTGAAAAAAGGGGACGAGGGAAGTTCTGTTGAAATAACCTTCGACCAATTTTTTTGTTATCAACTTAATCTTTATCTATTGTATTACCCTGTCTTAAATTTTAGAAAAACCTGTTCAAAAATACCTGAGTTATTGCCAGGCGCGGATACAGGATTTCTTTCAGGGGGGGGGCAATTTTTGCGCGTTTTTACCTATCTACCAGAAATTCGTTCTAAACAAAAAAAAATTATAAAATTTTAGCTAGTGTACTCTTTTTCACATAACATGGGTGACATTTGGTTCTTTTCATTACACGTATAGTGTACAATAGAACCTCGATAATCCTAATTAATTGGGAAAAAGGTGTGTTCGGATTAACGATTTATTCGGATCAGCAATTTTCCCAAAAATCTGCAAGGGAATTGAATAACAACTTCGTACACAACTGAAAACAAACTTCAAGAATTAAACCTAAATTTTATTAAACAAAAATTAAAGAATTCTTAAGCAACAATGGATAATAGATACATTCTAAAAAAATATTACTCCGTGACCATAAAGACGCTATCTTTTTGGAATAAACACCCCGGGATCTATACCCTGAAATTTTTCAGAATTTTTAGATGAATTTTTCAAAAATGAAATTTTCCATTATGTATTCGTATCACCTCCATTATGCAAATTTCGACCCATTCTCGACGATCTTCGAAATTTAACTAAATATATTTTCTTGTAGATTTTGGACCTCAAAAGTCACTTCTGGCTTCATTTCTTCGATAACTTAACCATTTTTCCAGAATCGTTCAGTTGAAATATCGCAATTTTTAAAAATTTCGAAAAACTTGAATTTCACAACGAATTTTCCAAAGATATTCCTCCGTTACCATAAACATGGTATATTTTTGGAATCAGCACGTCGGGATATATATCCCTGAATTTTTTCAGAATTTTTAGGAAATTTTTTCAAAAATGAAATTTTTCTTATGCAAATTTCGGCCCATTTTCGACAATTTAAGTTTAAGCAAATACTTTCTCTTGTAGGTTTCGGGTCTCCGATAACTTCATCCGTTTTTCCAGAATTAGTTAATTAATTCAGTGCTTTGAAATATGGCAATTTTTAAAAATTTCAAAATATTCCATACAACATATGCAGAAAGATCTTGCGTCATTTTTGTAAGTAGATGCATGTATTCAAGTTTAGTTCGGATTAAAGAGGCATCGACTTCAAATAGCCTCTGTTCGGATTACTGGATGCTGAGACAATCGTGAGTTCGGATTATAGAGGTTGTACTGTATTTACAAAATGAAATATGATTTCAAAATTTTGAAATTTGTGAAAATAAAGTACCTCGGTCGTGTGTACCTCGGCAATGGGTGCAATTGCCCCCCCCCCTGGATCCGCGCCTGGTTATTGCGCCCGAAAGTGTTACGTGGGACACCCGGTATATTTTTATACTTACATATTTTTTTTATTTGGAATAAAAAAAATATCCTTGATTAAATAAAAGAAACATTTGTAATTAAAGTAAAAACCAGTGGCATAAATAACACCCCTGCAGCCCCTGCGGCCGTGGGGGCGCAATTTGAAAGTATTAGTGCTAATTACGTAAGTACGGACAGTGTAAAATATGTTTAAAGCAGATAAACAGCGGGAAAAATGGCCTCCCAGCAGTAGTAATAAGCTTTAATTTCAAATGTTTGTTTATACATCGGAAGAATAACACGTAGAAATTTGTTTGGTTTGGATGAGTTTGTCGCTATAAATTAAGCCACAGTCCAACAAAATGTTCTGATTATTATTAGACGGGCGTGGGATCGCCAGTCCACGTTTCGACCCATTAAACCACGGTCAGGATATCGTACTTATATTGTTCTATAACATTTGAATTATATAAACATAGAATTCTTTGAAATGACGAAATGACGTCAACAAATTGTTGGTGGGGATTATTAGCCAATTTTTGGTTAACTTTTAACCATCTACATATTTCTAATATACCGGGTGTCTGGAAAATGGCGAATTAATTCTTCAGCACGTTATGTACGGAAGTTTCGGGAGCCCCAAAAAAATAATAAAAACAATATTTATGATGTAGATTATGAAAAAAACGTCATTTTATAAAAATAAAATTGGCAACACTGCACGCGCCTAACGCATGAACACCTCCGGCTTACTTTCCGATTTTTTAGTAACGATAATAACAGAAATCCACTTTTTATTTTTTTTTTAGGACAAAAAATATAACAAACAGTACTCATTAATCGTTATGCATTATTATTAATAAAATATAAACTGTTATTCTTCATTAATAAATAAACCAAAAAAATATAATAAGATATTTATAAATTACTAGCTTTTCGCTCGCGTAGACGATTCGTTGTGTTAAAGAGCATTATACCTTCAAGTAAAAAATGTGTTTAAGGACATTAATACAATTTCCAGTAAAAATCGACAAAAAATGTTTGCTCATGAAAACTTTGTCACCCCCTTTCATCTTCTTAGGGGTGAAATCTCGAAACAATCTGAAATACGTGTTTCATTATTTGTGTTGAAGAATATTAATACCAAGTTCCCCGTAAAAAATTTAAATTTACAGTAGAAATATTTTTCCCGTAGAAACTTCGCCACCACTTTTCACCCCCTTAGAGCTTCAATCTCGGAAAATAATCAAATATGTGCTTCATTATTTGTATTGAAGAGCATTAATATCAAGTTTCAGGTAGAAATTTAAATTTACAATTATTTTTCCCACACAATCTTAGCCACAACTTTTCACCCCCTTTGGGGTTGAATT